GTCCTAGACTACCAGATGGGTAGTGCATTAGCTAATAGATATCTAGCAAAAAACATTGCAGAATTAGAGCCAGCTGAATAATGATTGATCAACTAGCATCTGAGAAGCTGTTCAACTGTCAGTTATCTGAGTTTTTCCAGTTCTTCTCCCAATCCACCCCTTGCTCTAGGAAAAGTCATCTAAATTAGGATACAATGACATTTCTGCATTGCAAAAGCATAGAATTCAAAAGGCAGGTAGCTATTATATGTCCATACCGTGACCCTGTCTTCCAAAGATATAAAGTTCCCTCTTATTTGTACGGCGTGATATTTCCCCCCATTTCCAAGAAAATGCACAATTTGGACTACAGAGACTACATGGGGTTGTTTCCACCTGTCTTGGAAGAAGTTATGGTTGGGCATGCTAACGGTAGAATTGGGGGATGCCCACATACCCATGGAAACTTCAGCAGACGTGAATGCTACTTTGTGTAGCATTAACTTTATCATTGCCCTTCACCTTCTGTTTTTCTCAGAGGAGGAGGTAAGGTTCAGGCATGACCACAAGGCATCCCCTGGGATTTGCTGTAGTGCGGAGTAAAATCACAGGAAGACCCCAGGATATTCTCAGGATTGGAGGGCTGTGCTCCCTTTATCATCCAGAGGAAGGAGAAAACTGCTTACCTGAGAGGGGCTGCTACCCCAGAAACGCTTGTGTATTAAATTCCATAGATTTCCCTGATTAACTTCTGCAGGGGAAAGATGTCCTAGGTCCATATTGTCAATTTCTGATGTCACATTTTCCTGCCAGCCTCATAAAACTAATCTGTTTTATTTTTTCCTTCAGACTAGTTAATCCCAATGTGATCCTTAAGACCTAAGGGAGCTATGTGAAAAAAATAACTCCTGGTGTGGAGTAATACTACTGTATAATAGGCGCTGAAGAAATCCAATCAGGTTGTCTTGTTTTCTGACATATAGTATTATTTTGTTGAATATATTTATTTGGAAGGTTTATATATTTTGAACATCTTTTCTGTTACTCTTTGTGTCTTTAAGTCTTCTAATTTTTTCTTAAAACTTTTCACCTCACTTTAACCTACAGGCACAAAGCTGCTCTCGGTAACAATTGTGATAGGAAAGGTTTCCGGATACTATTTATAGACATCTCTTTCAAAAAAAAATTTTCTTTTTATACACTGAAATTAACCAAATAAATCGATTGCTGATATTAACAAAAATCCTGTTTGAGCCCCCATCTGCCACTGCAGTTTTTTTAGAGTGTAAAGCGTTGTAACCATATCTGAAAATCCTGCCATGTTTGGGGAATGGTCTCAAATGCAGATTTCATTCTGCTGTTGCATTCAGTGAGAATACAATGAGCACTTAAGAATCAGATGATGCTGTAAAGCTTTTATCCGGCTGAACTTGGCTTTGCAGAGTAGGCTACATCATTCTGAAAAGGTAATGCAACAGAAATATTGACAATGCTTAAAATTAATGGTGCCCCAAGGTCACTAATATAGCTGAAAAGTCCATTTAAAAATTATCATCTGGCCCTGTGGGCTCTGACAAAATACAGTTGTGGTGGCAACAAAGTGACTCTCAGCAAAGCCTCCTCCCTCACTTGCAAAGACTGTGCTGAACCAATCCTGTTTTACTGAAATCCAGGTTTTACCAGAGCATCCACCCAAAGCTTATTTGTTACTTGTCCAGCCCAATAGTCTTTTGCTTAGAGCACTGTTGGGCTATAACTTTCCATTGCTTTATGTATTATGATTATGGTGATTTAGTTGCCTACTAACTAGCTTTGTACCTTGTCAGCACAATGCTGGCAAGGCTACCACCCACCCCAGCAAAGACTGAACTAGCATTGTTAATTTAGAATTTTTTGTAAAACAATCATTCTAATCCGTGAGCTTTTTTTCTGCAAATCAGCTGAAAGCTCCATGCTACACTTCCATGGAAACTGATTCCCAAAAAGCCCCTTTACCCCATTTTTGACCAGGCAACTCTTGTTTCCATGGGAATAGCAGCCTCCAGCTGACTCATCAGAACTGTATATTTCAGCTCTGGCTACCAAGTAAGATCACCAAGACCCTGTTTTTTAACTACCAGCTAGATTCAAGAGGCCCCAAAAACCTCTGGGTCTCACTTTGGGGTGAGGGATTGAAGTCAAAAAGTAGTGTATGTATTTTTAGAAACATTTTTCAATTTCATTAACTTAATTTGCTGTTAATGTTCCCAAATAAAGATGTTTTTTAAAAAGTAATTACATACCTAAAAGAACATCTTTTATGTTTTAAGTTCAAGCATTTAAGATTGCCAGTGTGACCTTAATTCTTCCCCCTTGTTTGTCCATCCTGTGCCCTGAATGAGTCAGGGATCCTGGGGGGACGGACGAGATCATGTAATTAAATACTGTATCATAATGCATATGGAACAAGATTGCATGGGCAACCATAAATCTGGCACTTCTAACTCTTGAGTACTTGACTTTGCCATCTTAATGGTGTTCACTTAACATAGTCTCTTGTACGTACTTTTGTCTTTTTTTAAAGTTTAACCAAACTCTGTTATGAAAAACTGTGGCACCCCTCATCGTATGTCATCAGTGTTTGTACCCTGAACCTGCGGGACTGACTTCTGCCACTGAGCTACAGGACTAACTACAATAGCTGGCAGTAGGAGAAGGCTGTTGTCCCAGCTGGGGTATAGGCTACTGGAGCCAGGGAATGCTCTGGAGTAGCTGGGCACACATCTTTCTTCACCCTTTCTTGGAGTTTGAGGGAGCTCCTGCCCGTTGTGGTGCCCCCAGAAGGGGGATGGGCCCCAAAAGCACATGCCAATATGGGAGAAGCCTGGTTCACGCTCTCACACACCAGCTGCTGCAACAGTTCCACATGTTTCCAGTATAGCGTGTGCTGATGCTGTCGCTTTATCAGCATGCACCCAGCTCTTTAGAATGTTTGTTGGCAATTTATTATTTTGATGTGATGCCAAAACTTTCCTGAGGCATGCAAGGAAGAGAAGGGAAATGGTGATTTTCAAACGTTTATAACTTTATCAAACCTCAACAACTTCATGGGACCAACAAATGGCACTTCCCTAGCCTGAGGGCTTTCTTCCTGCAGAATTTCAAAGACCTGCTGCAAACAGTGAAGGTGTTAGAGCTTCTCAAAAAAAAGTCACAAGAATCTTCTCATAGAAAGTGTTAGGCAACCTAAATATAGAGGTTACTACCAAATCAAAATGCATCAATAAGTGCAGCAGCACTGGATACCCACACTTCTTGGTTGTCTTGGAGATTGGCATTACTGATATTACAGCTTTCTTTACTGGAGCATTAAGTAATCAGGGAAGCTGAACTCTGGGAAGCTGGTGTTCTGTCATAATTTCCTCCCAAAACCATCTAATTCCTGGACACAACTTCCACATGTGCAAGAATGTTCCCCTTTCCCTGCAATCTCTCCAAGAGATTTTAAAGTGATGAAGGTTCAGTTAGAAACACAGGGGCTGAGGTTACATAATACCTCACATAAAATGGAGGCATGGCAACTGTATGAATTGCATACTATCACTTCTGGATTTCTGGCAACTACTCTGTGCAGATCACCCTGGGACTAGAACACTCCAAAATGCCCTTTTAAAATACTCTCAAGAATCAGACCCTGACCACTGCCTTAATGCCTTTCTCCGAAAGGAGAATGTGACTACCCTTGCCACAGGTCCCATCTTGCTTTTGTCCTTGACTACACCATGCTGAGTAGAGTCCCTGTGGTCACACTTAGAATCATTATTGTCTTCCCATGAGCTGCAGTTGTTATGGTAGTGCAGTGGAAAGGTGTCTTTAGTGTTGTGTAGCTGTGTCACTCAATGTTGAACTATTCATAGATTATAAAGCCAGAAGAGACCATTGTGATCATCTAGTCCATTAGCCATTTCCATCTCTTCAATGCCACAGAGAACTTCTTTTTACCTCAATGTGGGTGCTTTGGGGCAGATCCAAGCCCTAGATAACTACTGCCTTACAATCTGTAGAATCCAATGTCTTAATGTTTCTGTTTGTACCAACATTTTATGAGTACCAAAACGGATCCATATTCTCTTTAAATGACACATCCCATTGGTCCATTGTCTTGTTCTATAGTATGTCATCACAGAATCTTGGAAATTCTATCTTGTATGGAAATGTCAGGAGGCTGTTCTCCAGTACTGAGAATCCTGCAAGAAGTTGCAAGGATCTGTACTACAGTGCAGTAGAAAATGCTATAAGAGACAGAATAGCGCCACACAACGTAGAGTTCTCCTCGAGCAACCTTCTCTTAGTGCAGGTTCCATTGTATACATTTGAACAAAAGCCAACTTCCATTAGGTAACCTTAACAACAGCTTCAGTGTGTCCCAGTCCCGGAGGTTTCCAGCACCATTTGTCTCAACCTTTCGTTAAAGGCAAATGATTTGCTGTCTCTTGGACGTTCCCGTAATAAGGTTTCACCATACTTGGGTACAATGCACTTCAGTGCTCTATTTCCTTGCCCTATATAGGGGGAGTTACCGCGCGTGCCTAATTTCCTGTGCCTCAAGAGGTGAATCAAAGTCCACAGTAAAACAAACCTCTATTATTCTGTTTTCTTGGAACTCCGCTTTTATCTTGTTAAGGGATTAGTGCCTTAAAGCCTGTCTGGAGCTAATGCTTTAAATGTGTTAACTACAATCAAATGAGCACCCTGTGCCCCCCTCCCGGCTCTCAGCATGGAGGCTGCTGCCTAGAATGCACTCAGACTTTCTATGAAAGTTAATGACCAGTTCCAAAACTAGGTGTCATTAAATGCTTTAAACAGGTACTGTGAAATGCCTTTTACTCTTTGTGGGCCTGATTCTGCTTTTGTACTGGTTCTACACTAGTGTAACTCCACGGACATTATTGGAGTTTCTCCTGATTCACCCAAGGCTAGAATTGGACTCTCATATCTGCAGGGTAACTGTGAGCTATAACTCTGACTCTCTTTAATAACAGGTTCCTAGATGTCAGGATGGCAGCTTCAAACCTGGAGAACCAGTTGCACAGTGCCCAGAAGAATCTGTTGTTTCTCCAGCGGGAACATGCCAACACACTCAAAGGTTTGCACGCTGAGATTCGACGACTGCAACAGCATTGCACAGGTAGTTACATAAATACCGCCAGCAGTGTTGCTATGACCACTCAGCAGCTCAGCTTTGTGCAGACTTCACTCCCAAGTCCTCTCCTTCCTGAAGCCATTTGAAATACTATTTCACAATAGTATTCAAATATTATTTGACCAACTGCACTTCCGGAAGAAGCTTTGTATTATATTGGTATTATATTTTAGTAATCGCATAAAAATCTGCAGGTTCATGCCACTTCTCAGTTTTGAAATCTCCATAAAGCGTCGTCTCCTGTGTTGTATTTAGCTCAAACAATGTACATTTCTGAGTACACAAACTATTGTCATAAATAAAGTACAATTGTTAAAATAACTGAAGTGTGTTTTGTAAAGTGTTCTCTCATATTTATTTCATGTACGTTGGCTTACGTGCTAATATGGTAATCTGCAGTGGATCCCTTAGTTCAAAGTAGAAAGGTTCTGCTATAATTTATTATAGCAAATAATAATGTACAGTAGAACCTCAGAGTTACGAACTGACCAGTCAACCACACACCTCAATTGAAACTGGTAGTATACAATCAGGCAGCAGCAGCACACCCTCTCCTCCCCCCCCCCCCCCCCGCCCCAAAAAAAGGCAGTACAGTACTGTTAAAAATAAACTACCAAAAGAATAAAAGCAAAGCAGCATTTTTCTTCTGCATAGTAAAGTTTCAAAGCTGTAGTAAGTCAATGTTCAGTTATAAATTTTTGAAAGAACAACCATAATGTTTTGTTCAGAGTTACGAACAACCTCCATTCCTGAGGTGTTCGTAACTGAGGTTCTACAGTATTGCTGTTTTAAGGGCTTATAAAAATGTTTGTTGTGCAAAATATGTATGTATGGTCTAGCAAAACTATAATTTGAACTCGGGTCTAATGTGTTGGTGAAAACTGATTTTGATTTAGTAGCAAAGATCACTCTTACATTTCTAGTGGCTCCATTTAATATGAATTATTATACCAGCACCAAATGAACCATAGAAACCCTGTAAGGTCCCAACTAGTGTGTATTCCCAGCCAATGCAGGATTTTTCCCTCTGGTATATTCTCCAAAGCTCTGTCCAGTCAACAACTTTTGAGAGACTATTTCACAGTATTAGTGTACACGTGTGCATTGGGCTCAAGCAAAATATAGCCTATTAAACTAATCAATGGCAAACAATGCTAATAAGTGAACAACTGGACAGAACAGATTTTACTCTTCAATTTTAGTCATGAAAATCATTAAGTATTTACATCATAAACATGTCAGAACACTTAATTCAATAAAATTAAACCCAAAAATTAACATGTGCAGCTGCAGGATACAGGGGTAGTTTGGGGAGCATTTTCTGTAGTTTTCTTTAAGTCACTGGCTTTTTAAAACTGTTGAAGCAGCCTTTTGTCACTAGAAACATCTATGAATGCAAAAGACAGTTCTAACCTCTTTGCAGATATGCTCTATTTTAATCATATGTAATGTCCAAAAAATAAAACAGGTTTCTTTTTTAGATTTGACCTATGAGCTGACTCTGAAAAGTTCGGACCTGGCAGGTAAGAAATGCAGTGCAGGTGATGCTTTTCATGGTCTGGTTAACATCTTCCATCTTTGGTGTCTGTGTGTGGTGTAGGCATGCATTTTTTTTATATCACAAGTATATAATAATACTTTTCAGTTAGAATTTATAGTGCCTTCCAACCCAGGATCCCCAAATGCTTTCTTACTTGCTAAGCTTAATTTCTGAATGCTTGTGAAGTGTTCCTATCCCAGGGTCACAAAAGAAGCCTATGGAAGGACCAGGAATAGAACCCAGAACTGCTGACTCCCATTTCTTTGTTTTAACCACCAAAGCATCATTTCCCTTTTCCAGTACAAGAAGACAGAAACTATAAATACTCTCACTCTGCCCATAAATCACATTCTTGAAACTGTGCAACTACTGTAGCTGCATCACAGATCTGGAGAAAACTGCCAGGCATTTCAGATGTGCTGTGCTTCAGCTGCTGATACTTACGACAGTAATGTTTGCTGGGGATAACCCCTAGACTAGGAAAAGGGTACAAACAGTTAGGCCTCACAACATGCCTTTTTGTTCAGTATTTGATTGTACCTATTTTACAGAAGGATAAGATGAAGTATGAAGCGATTAAGTGAGTTGCCCGAGGTGTCACTCCATGGCAGTGGGGCAGCCAGGAATAGTGCCCAAGCGTTCTGACTTGAAGAGCACTCTTCTAAGCATTAGCTCACCATAACATTTATAGACTTTCTAATGTGGTACAGCCAGGCATTCTCCTCGCCAGGTCAATGAGTTCTTGTTACTCTTGGTGGCCTTGCAGGATTTGCAAAATGACTTAAATTTGTGAGCGTTCAGCAACCAAAATTTACTATAATCTCTGGCTACTTTCCTAGAACAACTGAGCTATCTTCATTTTTATTTCAAGTTGGAATCATCAACTGGGTATCCTCCCCATCCTAAGCTGCTGAATGTGGCATTGATCTTGTATCTAATTTTTTGTTTAACTAAGAGCTATCGTGTTAGCTTTTAAACTATGAAGTGGTCAGTGTATTTCCAGAAGTTAGCCTTTGGGATATTCTTACATTCTGAGAATTAATTTTAAAGAAAGGCGTTGCATTGCTCATTTTTACCTAGCGGCTATAATTCGCTTGAAACCATTTACTTTTCCTGTTCTTCTAGAAAATGGTAATTCAAGAAGCGATGAACTCAAAAGAAAATGTGAAGCACTTGAAGCTCAGCTGAAAGTCAAAGAGGCTGAAAATAATGAATTATTAAAGGAACTGGAACAAAAGACTGCAATGATAATGGTGCTGGAAAACACCATCAAAGAAAGAGAAAAGAAATATTTAGAAGAGTTAAAAATGAAAAGCCATAAGCTAAATATGCTGTCAAGTGAACTAGAGCAGCGAGCAAGCACTATTGCATATCTAACTTCACAACTGCATGCTACCAAGAAAAAGCTTATGAGTTCAAGTGGGACTTCTGATGCCACCCCATCTGGAAGTCCAGTATTGTCCAACTACAAGCCAGCTCCTCCCAAAGATAAACTACCTGAGACTCCCCGACGCAGAATGAAAAAGAGTCTGTCAACACCACTAAACCCGGAGTTTGAAGAGGCCTATAGATTCGGATCGGATAGTCGAAAGCTGCTGTTGCGAGAGCCTGTTGATGCTATGCCTGATCCCACTCCATTTTTATTGGCCAGGGAAACTGCAGAGATCCACCTGATCAAAGAGAGGCCTTTAGTTATTCCACCCATTGCTTCAGAACGCACATCAGGCGAATCACACAGTCCAGCAAAAGAGAAGCAGCACAAGGCGCATATTGGTGTGGCACATCGAATTCACCATGTAACAACATCCCAGCCTCAGCCTGAGGTTGAAACATTAGCAGTGGATCAGGTCAATGGAAGTAAAGTGGTCCGAAAGCATTCAGGGACAGACAGAACTGTTTAAGTGAAATGATTGATGTGATGCTCTATTATTCTGTTGCTGTTTATGCACTGTGATCAAATAGGATAAATCTCATCTGCAGTAAAGTTTCTTTTAATGCCCCATGCATGCCAAATTTTTTCCAGATCTGTCATTAATAATTAGCCTACTTCAATGAAACACAAATGAGACTCTCTGTTCATATTGCAAAGTATATAATTACTAAATGCTGTGGCCAAATCTAGGTGTACCTGACTGCTTGCTTCTAAGTACTACTCCATTTACTATAACTGCATATGTGGACAAAAGCACAGGCTACAGTCTGCATTATTAATCAACATTAATGAAAAAAGATACTAATTATAAACCTCCAGCAATATGTATTGGCTGTTAATGTTTAAAATGTCAATGTTCCTTTGAAGTCTTGATGGTGTGTATGTAGCATTTCATACACAGACTCTAACTTTCATGACAAAGCCTTTCTTATGGCAGCATTGAAAATAATGCAGATGTGTTAAGAGAACCTATGAGAGAACTTTTTTCAGGTGGTCCTGATCAAATTGTGTTCATATTTTTGTTACATTTCTCTCCACTATTACAAAATTCCCAACAAACTTTATTTTATTAATCCTGTATTTTGATTTGTGTCCTTTTCTTCATTCTTTTTAACAGTTTCAAATGGTCATAATATATAACTGACTGTGGTGGGAGTGTAAGAAAGAAAACACCAATTGAAAAACTATTGTGTAAGTCTTCATGGAGAGAGTATGAACACTGTCCTAATGGAAAGCAGGCTCCTGTTTTGGTGTTTAGAAATTGAATGGTTAATATTAATCTTACACTAATTAATACTTTGCACTATGGTGCCTTTTGTACAAGGCTCTTAAAACGCCTTACTAAGGTGTAAAAATAATACACTGCACAAAAAGTGCACTATTGAAATGTTTGTTTTTATACTTAGCCTGTATACTGTACAACAGCATAAAAACCATCAGACCTAACCAATGATTTATTTGTTTTTGTTTTAAGTTTGAAACAACTTTATGGAGACATGAGGCTCACTCTGTTCTGAGGCACACTCACGGAAGGATGCAAAACCCAAATGGTATTTTTAGAATTTTCTGAGAATGTTAACCTTGGGAGCCCTTCAACCCATTCTCAATGTTTCAAATGGTTTGGAGAATTCCATTACTAAAAATGTCAATTATTAGCAAAGTACAAATATTCTGGGTTTTTTAGAGGATGGGAATCTACAGTTCAAAGGAAAATTAGTTACTAAACTGTGAGACAAAAAAGGGGAATGTTTTCCTTTTTAACTCACAATTTTAAAAACTGTTTTGGTTTAGTGATCTCTAGTAGCAAATAAACAGAAATATGTAAGTAGTTTATCCTTAAAACCCCACATTCCAGATGTTTGGAAGATGGGCCTAGTTTGCAGTTCTGTAGCACACTTCAGCCATAGATCTCAAGGTACTTTACAGCAGTGGATAAATCTGATACTCATTTTAACCTGTGTCTTGAAATGACTTACCCAAGCGACCACAGGAAATCAGTACTAGAGAACCTAGCTTTTCTCAGGGTATTGTCATGCTGCTACTCAAAGGATGGGAGGAACAGTGTTGTCTTTGACTTGTCCTATGTGATTCATATGCTCCCAACAATACCTTGTCTCTCCCAGTAACATACCAGCTGCTTGCCCATTACCCTCCTCCTTCCTTTCCCCTACCCCAAACACACACAACACAAAAACGCAAATGCAGATTTTTGTGTAAGCATATTCCTTTAACTCCTAAATTTCTGGGAGTTAGCCTGAACACTCATTCTTGCTGTGGTATGAGTCTGCTGTCCGATAAAGCACAACAAATAGAACTGAGCAAATGACTACTCCAAAATGCTGGTAGGTCCATGGTGTGCCTTTACCAATTCAAAATACAATACTTGTTTAAGCTAATAAAAGAAACAACTTCTTAGGAGAGATTGTGGAAGTAGGTACTTATCCTTTAGACTAAAGACATTATAGATCAGCCAGTGCTCTGGAAAGTAATCCAACTTCCCATACCTGAGTCTAAAGATGGGATGCCTGAGTCTAAAGTTTACAGTAAGATTGAAGCTACAATGATATCGAAACCAGTCTGTGGCATGACTGAACAACCCACCTCTGCTCTCTGAGCATGGAAAGAATCTCTTCTAAAGAAAGACAGTAGCAGGGATGCAGGGGAAAGTGAAAAAAGTTTCTTAAAACAAAATAATCTCACACACAAATACTGTCATAGGTTGGTATGATTATAAGAACTCTCCAGCCTAAAAGGCTAAAACCTTTATTTTTCAAAAGTATAGAAAAAGTTAAATACAAATTGACATAAATGGCTAAAATGCTTCTTTAAATATGAAGACAAAATTAAATACAAGTTAAACTACATCGTGCTTTGTATTTACTAAATCTTAATGTCTTAGGAAAAATTGCTGCAAATACTTATTTTGAAAATGTCTCTGGGCCAGTTTAAAATCAGTAGAATTCTCTTGAAAAGGTAGGGTACAAAAAACTTGATCCTGTGCTTCTTGGCTTAATTTGACTTCATAAGTTGTTCTCAGATAGCCACCAATGCACTTTGGGTGTGGGAAATGGACAGTTTAAGGTGTCAGTCAGAGTTCAAAGTGAGACAGACCCCTTGCAGCACCCAGTGGGAAATATGCTTTATGGTTGAAAGATCAGCTTCAAAAACTAAGCCAATGCCCATGGCATTTCTTCTCATGGAGGTTGTGTACACAGGTGTCCGGAATGTATTCTAAAACAAGAGAAAAGCAGGTATTGTTTGAAGGATCCTTAACAAGGATTAGGGGTTGCAGGATTGAACCCTTATGCCTTTAGTAAAGGTGATATAAGAAGCTTGCATTCACTATTAGAATTCTAAATCTATAATGTTAATTATAGCCTTAATTTAAATCACTGGCTGGGGCAGATAGGGGGACAGGGATGTATCAGCTTCCCCAATTTTCATTTCATACAGTAATCCTAATTGTCCAAAACTAAATGTGTCACCAACTGATAGCAACTAACAGCAGAGAAATCTAATTAAGACAGACAAAAATGAGGCCTTGTCTATTTCACACACAGTCATCTCTAAAGCTATTTTGTTGTTAAAACAGTCACATCTGTATGTGCGCTGCCTGTGGTACTAGGAAAGAGCCTGTCAATCTGTCCTTGAGGGAAGATGTTCATACCTGTAGTTTGAGCCGATGTGATTCGATAGGAATTATCTTTAGAATAGGTAAATCTACCATCAAGACTTTGGGCTTGCTCCGGGCAAGACAGCAATTCTCAATGTCCCAGTCTGCTCCTTCCAGATATAGACCAGAAACAAAGCATCCTGCAGCAAGTAGAAAAGCAACATTTTTCTAAATGAATCTATTTGAAAAGGATTCTTTTTTTGTAAGGCACATTCTCTCTGGACTAGCTAGACCTTGTTACTATGGGTTTACAGCAACCTCAGCGCACTGAAATACTGTGAGTGACTCCTATGTTTACTTATTGTGAATCAGGCACAAGCCAACTTCATGCAGTTTTTAAAATTAAAAGTATCTTTAGGTACACTATCTAGGCTAAACATTTTTAAAGGAGCTCAAGCCTCAGGGCATAAACCAGCCACTAAGTGCCTGGGGCATGTTATTGTATAGCACCTCAACACCTTTGTACTATACGGAAATTTCCTCTGTCAAAGAAGGGCTATTGGATGTGATGGACACCTGGGCTGCACTGATACAGCACTTCCTATGTCTTTGGTGAATTAATAATTAGATTGAAAAAAGGAAAATTTTGACAGAAAAGAAACTACAAAAATGTTCAAATATTTTCCCTGATTTGTTGACCAGCTCTGATAACTATAGCCCAGCAGTAGTTATCTGTCCAAAGGTCTTTATATTAAGGAATAAACCTTTAGCATTACTGTCACCTGGTATTTTTACTGATGAGCAAGCTAAAGTAGAGAGCTTATACTTGCCTAAAGTCAAAAAGAAAGCTACTAGCAAAGCAATAAAGGGCTCCCAGGAGTCTGGACTCCCAGCCCTCTGTTCTAACCCTTAAGAGCTACTTAGGTTCCAAAATCTCAGATTCACTATGCCCTTGCTCAACTGCTGCCTAAGCTCACTCAGTGCCCAAGATTTTCCTGTAAAAGATCCTTAAGTGCCTATGTTTCCATCCCTGGGCCCATGCATTGCTGTGTCCTTCTAGGTGTCCACATGCCTAAGCCTCAGGGTGGGCCAGAAAATCCACTAATCTTGCCTGCAGGGCCTGAACTAAGAGGCCACCTAACTCCACACACCATGGGGGGAGAGGATCTTCCTCATACGTTGTAGCCCAGTGATTAGGATACTCAGCTGGGATATGAGACCCCCTCATTTCAAGTCAAGTCCCCGCAGCTGCCTGGGAGAAGGGATTTGACCAGAGATCTGGCACCTCTCAGATGAGTGCCCTAATCACTGAGCTAGTCCAGATTCCCTCAATCTCTCCTGTCGAAGCAGTTCCACTATGTATAAATAATGAAAGAGGCAAAATGAAACACAGCGTATGAGGCTGGTAGGTAAGGCACTCACCTGACAGACCCAGCATCTAGTCCTCTGTGCCAATGACTCGCTAATAATTTATATGAAGTGCAATCGCGTCAACAAATGCAATTGAGGGAGCTCCCCACATCAGACTATCCTATGTGTAGTGGTTAAGGCACTCACCTAAGAGGTGGAAGACTTCTGGTCAAATCAGGCAGAGTCCCCCCTGACTTGAACTGGAGGTCTCCCACATCCCAGGTGAGTACCCTCACTATTGGGCTAAAAGTTAGGAGGCTGGTCCTCCTCCTCTGTTTCTTGCAATAAATACCTTAGGCACCTGACTCCAGGAGAGGTTTCCAGTTGCAGAGCACAGCACTAGCTGCTTCTCTGCTACCTGGACTTAGGGATGGGGCCTAGCACAGACCCCTCTCCTCCACCAATGGCACTGGCTAGCTCAGGCGGCCCCTGCTCAATGTACTGGGTTTTGTGACTTCCATTCTTAGGCACCTGTCTCCCCACATTGATTGTACAGGGAGCCTAGGCCCCAAACCCAGGCTTTGTGAATCCTAGTGATTTTCTAGGAACCTCAAAGTTAGCTGTTGTGATGCTCAACATCAGTTCCTTTCAGGGCTGCGCTACCCTAGAAAATTAGTGACATCGCTCAGGGGTGTGAAAAATCCATGCCCCTCAGCACTGCAGTGAAGCTGACCTCAGGCCCCAGGCAGACGTTGACGGAAGAACTCTTCCATTCCCTAGCTACCACCTCTCAGAGAGGCTGATTTACTACAGTGCCAGGAGAACCTCTCCCTTTGTTGTAGTGTTCACAATGAAGTGCTACAGCTGTGTAGCTGCAGCTGTGCCGCTGTAGCATTTTATATATGGACAGCGCCTAACTCCCATTCCCACTGAATACCTTGGCATCAGTTCCTTCCACTGAATGGTCATGTGTGACAAACAAAACCAAGTTTTTGGCTGCAAAGGCATAAGTTAAAACAAACTAATGCTTATTACCTTTATAAAATGGCCAAATATTGTGTTTGCAGCCCAATTACCAACCGCTTTTGCAAACTCTGCATTGGAAAGTGCTACCTTGCCCAGGGCGCTCGGTGACTTCCTCTGCAGTACCATACTGGGTCACTTGTGTGTACAGGGTGGAGCGATCCAGCGGCCAGCCATTTTTCCTACAGGTGGCTTGAACAAGAGCTGTGAGATAAGACTCGGGAATATGTAGTCCTGAGAGCCACATAACATTTGGTTCGCCCTCATTAACCTGGAATCAATCACAAGAGAGACCTCTTTAAATTCTGAACTGCTCTGTCCCATGAGGAAAGTGCCTGCTCCTCATTCAAAAATTGGGGGTGTGACGGGTTGGATCACAGAAACCCCCTTGGGAGCTGCCACCCGATGTGCCAAGACTACCCCTGCTTCTGTTTTCCCTGCTAGCTCAGGACTCCAGCACCCCGTCTTGCTGAATTAGACACTCCAGTCCACTTCAACACAGACCCAGGGTCTGAATTACTTGTCCCCAAGCTGCAAGTTTACCCAAAAACAGCTCACAGGAGTGTGCTTGTCTTTAGCACTCAGATGCCCAACTCCCAATGGGGTCTAAACCCAGATAAATCCGTTTTACCCTGCATAAAGCTTATGCAGGGCAAACTCATAAATTGTTCGCCCTCTATAACACTGATAGAGAGATATGCACAGCTGTTTGCTCCCCCAGGTATTAATACATACTCTGAGTAAATTACTAAATAAAAAGTGATTTTATTAAATACAGACAGTAGGATTTAAGTGGTTCAAAGTAGTAACAGACAGAACAAAGTAAGTCACAAGCAAAATAAAATAAAATGCGCAAATCTATGCCTAATCAAACTAAATACAGATAATCTCACCCTCAGAGATGCTTCAGTAAGTTTTTCTCAGACTGGACACCTTCCAGGCCTGGGCACAATTCTTTCCCCTGGTACAGCTTTTGTTCCAGCTTAGGTGTTAGCTAGGGGCTTCTCCATGATGGCTCCTCTCCCTCTCTGTTCTCTTCCACCCCTTTATATGTCTTTTGCATAAGGCGGGAATCCTTTGTTCCTCTGGGTTTCCACCCCCCCCTCACTGGAAAAGCACCAGGTTAAAGATGGATTCCAGTTCAGGTGACATGATCACATGTCACTGCAAGACTTCATTACTCACTTGCCAGCACACACATATACAGGGAGACTTGCAGGTAAACACAGTCATCTGCAGACAATGGTTCTTGTTAATGGGAGTCATCAAGATTCCAAACCATCATTAATGGCCCACACTTTACATAATTACAATAGGCCCTCAGAGTTATGTTTTATATTTCTAGTTTTAGATACAAGAGTGGTACATTTATACAAATCAGATGATCATACTTAGTAGATTATGCACTTTGTAATGATACCTTACAAGAGACCTTTTGCACGAAGCATATCCCAGTTGCATTATAGTCACTTATCAAATTTTTATAAAACTATCCCAGTTACATTATATTCACTTATTATCATGTTTTTATGAAACCATATAGACTGCACAACGTCACAGGGGGTTCAGTGCTAAGCACCTGCAGCTGTCACTGACTTTAAATGGAAGCTGCAGGTGCTAAGCATCTCTAAAGATTGGCCAATGAATCTTATTTAATCAGCATGCTGCAATGCTAGGGGGGAGGGATAGCTCAGTGGTTTGAGCATTGACCTGCTAAACCCAGGTTGTGAGTTCAATCCTTGAGGGGGCCATTTAGGGAAGTGGGGTTAAAATAAATAAATAAATAAATAAAAACAAACCTGTCAGGGGATTTGTCCTGCTTTGACCAAAGGGGTTGGACTAGATGAGGTCCCTTCCAACCCTGATATTCTATGATTCAATAATGCTACATATGGTGTCATTACTGTAACTAAATGGGTTTGTTTCAAATAGCTTTTAGTTAAAGCATTTGTGTTAGGTGTTGAAGCCTATAGACTGACTCTATTTGGGCAGTAAATAATGCAGACACAGAAGAGGGTTTCTCTGTTCTCTTACTCACCCAGGATGTGTACTGGTTATACCTATTCTTAAAGTAAATCATCCAATTTCCAAGTGTTTTTAGTGTGTCAGGTGCCAGCTTTCTCCAGATGCTAGGGATCTGTCCATTAAAGAGAGCCCGAGCCACTTCATCCAGTTCACTGCTCATTCCAACTTCCCCAGCCAAGGCCTGGTGAGAGAATTTGCAGAGACAGAACTTAAGAATTTCAAAGCCCAACAGATTTAAATGAGGAGGATTCCCTTTGAAACTTAATATTCTTACTCTTTGTAGTTCAGCCAGGGATCTGGACATACGAATGATCAGTTTGTTAAAACGTTCCAATTCCTGCAACAGCACAACTGTTGTTGGTGAAATTTCTATTCCCAAAGTCTTTCTTATCTGGTCAAGATCAAATATTTGAGGCATCTTGTTTTCTATGTCCTTTGCAACCTGTCCAATATATTCATCTCGACCAATTCCACTGCCAGATTCCCCTGTAATGAAAACAGTTTAGCGAGCGCTAAATAACTTTACATTTTCTATTAGTCTAAATTCAATATTACATGAAGTCAAATGTTTCCTATAGATTTTTAATACTAGCAGATTCTTGTTCCTCTCCTGCAACATCTTGCACGTGGGCACTGTAGCGGGGTGATCACCCCGCTCCGGCCCTGGAAGGCCACACCCCAATCAGGGCTCAGCTGGCCCTTAAAAGAGGGCAGTGGGCCAGGAACAGAGTCAGTCTCTCTCTGCCTCTAGAGAGGGAAGGGCCTGGCTGCTCAGGAGCTTACAGGGTACTGAAACCTCCCAGGCTGCAGGCTAACAAGGCCCAGAAGGGTACTGGGGTTGCAGAGGGCGGCCAAGGCAGCAGGTCCAAACCCCCCTTGCCTGTGATGAGTGGCTTGTACGCTGCAGTCTGCCCCAGTGAACGGGGGCTAGATGGTGACTGGCAGTAGCCTGATAGTCATCCAGGGAATTAGCTCTTTCCATTCATTTCTCCACCTTCAGTTCCTTCACTTGGATTCCGGGCAACAGTCCAACAGTCCTTGCCCTTCCCCCTGTATCGGGGCGGACCGCATATGCCTGCATTCTCCACCACTCTTGTAACGGGGCGATGCTCACCTCCGTGGCGCCTCCTGCTGGCCTCCCAGGGAATTAGCTCACCAGCCGCCAGAGCGCCCTCTGCCGGCCGGTGTCTCGCCTTTCGCTGGCCCCCCGTGTCCCTCCCAGACCCCGGTGCCCCTTTCTCTTGGGGGCTGCCCCCTGGCAGTATCCCCACCCAGAGGAACCCCCACCCACTATCCCCACCTCGCCTCAGTATCAGGCTACTGCCAGTCACCATCTAGGGCAGATCGCAGTGTACAAGCCACTCATCACAGGCAAGTGGGGGGGTTGGACCTGCTGCCTTGGCCTACCCCTGGACTGCCCTCTGCAACCCCAGTATTCTTCTGAGCCTTTAACCAGGCCTGCAGCCTGGGAGGTTTCCAGGCTGGAGCTCCCCAGCTCCTCTGGCCTTCCCCCAGCCCTGCTCCACTCTAGGTACCCTGTGAGCTCCTAAGCAGCCAGGCCCTTCCCTCTCTAGAGGCAGAGAGAGACTGACTCTGCTCCTGGCCCACTACCCGCTTATAAGGGCCAGCTGAACCCTGATTGGGGCATGGCCTTCCAGGGCCAGAACAGGGTGATCACCCCGCTACAGGCACCCTGCTGTGCCCACATGGAGCCATGCTGAAGACAATGGCCATGCAAACACAACAGGCTCCCCATGTGTAAGAAGTTACAAGACCAAGGTCTTGTACATTCATGATTTACTTTTTGTTTGCAAGAACTGTATTCTAGGTGACAAAATCATACCTGTTTGAGGTTGCAGCTCAAGAAGATGAGACCACATATCTCGAGCAGCCTGTGTATAGTATCCGATTTCAGCATTGGGATGAAGACCAAACACCTCTGGGGTATTAGCAAGTGGTAGAGACTCTAGCTCCTCTAGAGCACAAAAATACATGAGGCTCGTCAAAATGCAGTGTAGTAAGATATAGCGACCAGATTTACTTGTGTAAAGGGTGTTTAAGGTTTAAAAAGTAAAGAATGTATTTATAAAATCTTTAGTTTTTTCTAAAGATTTTATAAAGAGAAGTGTGGTGAGCTGACCACTAGACTCTCACAGATCTACACACGGCTGGCCTTCTTAACCAAGGGAATAAAAACATTTCTATCAGTGCACACAATGGATGGCTGAAGTTTGCTACAGCCCTTATATAATAATAGAAATACAGAAAGGAAAATGTAAGTGTAGGTAGAATTTTTAAATACTAACTTGTATGGAAGGAAATGCATTTCTTACCGACAAAGTCATCCTTTGAATTCCCTCCTGGGATTTTATAATCAACCTCTTCATTTTTATAAAAATGGAATGGTTGGAATGTGTCAAATATGAAATCCCCTAAATACTCATCCATATATATGGTCAGAATGCGACGATCAAAGCTGTCAATTGCACGCCCACCGTACATGACCTAGAAATTGGTGAAACTATTTTTATATAACATGCTTAATTGCAACAAGTAGATTTTAAAACTTTTGAAAACATCAAAGTATTTTTGGCTGTTACATACTGTCCCTCCCAGAGGAAACCCTGTGCTTCTCTGGTAACTCCTCCTAACGGGGCAAAAGCAGGAAGTGCTTGGACATTAGTGGGAGTCTAGGGATGGCTGCCAGATTGTGAAGATCATGGCAGGGCTGGTCCTCTCGAGCTTGATTACTGCAAGGACCACAAAGGGTCAAGAGCTCACTAAGATGAAAAAATTCAGTTTCCTCAGCAGCGTTACTGAACTATGCATAGTGTGTAGAGAGAGCTCTGAAATGCTGCAACACTTCAGGAGCTTTGTATATATCCCTTCGTATGGCCTATTGTAATGATAATTCTTTGCAGCTATTCGGTATAGTGCTTTTCACCAAAGGATCCCAAGGGCTTTCTAATCAAGAATTACTTAAGACTCTCAGCTCCTCCGTGGTATAGGTAAATGTTGTGTCCCTATTTCACTGAGGCAAAGAGGTTAAGTGACTTACTCAGGGCCATACAGTGATTTCTTGAAAAAGCCAGGCGAGAACCGTAGCCCACTTTGCTTGAAGATAAGATAGATCTTTTTGCAAGTGCTGTCCTTATTTACAGGATAGCATTTTACCATCAGAGCTACTTAACAATCAGATTTACCTCTCCAATGAGATACTTGAGACTGCCCCATGGAATTTTGTCATCATTTTGCTGGTAGGCTTTGGTCAAGTACGTATTCAGGATTTCCATGCACACCTAGTAACAGTTATTACAACATGTTGGATGAGAAGAGTCACAAATTAGTCAGACAAGGATACAGACTTATTTAGTTTTCACACAATTCTAATTCGTACATTAATTATCACGTCTTCCTCAAAAGAAAATGAAAAATAAATCTCACAACAAACAGCCAGCAGGGGGGATGTGTAAAGAGGCTGGATCAGGAATCTGGCTTCTTATTCTCAGCAATCTTGATACTGGCTAAAAGTAACCTTATAGACTCCAGGGTCTACAGTGTCTGTGGTGACAGGGAAAGGAGGACCACTCTAACTTACTGTAAAAAGGAGACGGACAGACAGACAGACAGTATATTTGCAAAGGTAACCTGTGCAAACTCAAGGGCCATTAGCGTTAGCTTCTTACCTGGAAATCAGATTCATTAAAATCATATGATACATTCCAGCCAATCTTCCCAAACTTCCTTCTCTCCTGAACTACCGCATGGAAAAATGCTAACACATAGACCAGTGATTTAAATGCGCCATGGGGGCATTGCTCAAGGGCTTCATGGGGAATTTTGAAGTAGGTGGCTCTCATATTCAGTTTCAGCCAATTTGGTGGTTCTGTTAAAACCAAAAAAAAAAAAAAAAAAAAAAAAAACCGTCAATTATTTGAAATAAAGTTATGAATTTTACATGTTTGCTCTTCACATCATGCTAAAAATATAAAGCGCAGTTATATAACAATAGTGATACTTTATTAAGTATATTTAATTATATTTTGAAATCAAATTCAAATATTTTATATTACACATTTTAATTAATGTTGCCTTAGATCATGCTTCTGAGAAAGGTAAGGATTATTAACCCTATTTTGCAGAGGGTGAAACTGAGGCACGGACAGCTTCTTAGCTTGAGTTTCAAATGTCACACAAGCCCTAATTTGTGCTTGCAACAGTCATGGCTGTGCTCACAGATTGGGTATTTGCAGTGTTAAATTGAAGGTACACACACAGCTATTTTTTGCAGATCTGGGATTAAGCACTGCCGGTGGTGAATGTTTTAAAGATGTCATCGATACACTAAAATACATATCTGAATCAATGACAGGTGCCTAAGTGTCACTCTGCTGCGCTAACATCTGTCAGATAAAATGATTATTGTCACAGCAATGATTTACAACCACATAAATAGTCACCACAAAAGGAACATTAGCACAGCATCTCTGGCTTGCCATTTATAAATAATCAGCGCATCTTGCTTGTGATAAATGCTTCAGCCTTACGTAGCAGCTGGAAAAAAATTGTCCCATCAGAACATCTGCCCTATTGACGTTGTCCAGCTAGACACAGACCTCAGTTCTACATTTTCAGCATTAGCCAACTGACAGGAGGTATTTCTGTGTATCTGGGTATTTCTAACCCACTCATCACAGTGGTGTTTGGGACTAAAGGGCATTTACAAGTTCACTTTTACTGACAGGGATTGATTATGAAATATGTGCCTAAGGGTAGCATCAGATGAACACTTCTATTAAACTTATTTCACATCAGTTAAACCCCACCAGCTGGAAAACCAGAGGATGAAAATAGGATCTTGCTTACCAAGAAAAAAGACAGCATTTAGGGCCCAATCCTGTATGCTGTATTCAGGCCAAACGCCCATCAAGGTCAATCAGTTTTCCCTGAATAAGAGTGGCATGTCATGAGTAAGAGTGGTGTGTCATGCCTTCTGCTGGTGTTTCACCCCTGTACTGTACCTTTAAAGACTTCTGAAGTATTCCAATGGGAAAGCCCAGTGTAGGGTCAGTAGTCAGCCACAGCCGGAAGTCTGGATGAGGCTTAGTAATTCTCTCCAATGCTTTCTCCAAATCAATCAGCCATTTCACCAAAAGATGACAGTTCTGCAACATTAACCACTGTCCGCGAGCCACTGCATTCTCCAGCAACTGCAGTGCAACCTGTGTCAATGAGACGGAAACAGCTGCCTATGAGTAAACTTACTTTGACCCTGAAAGTGCAGGGATTCTGATTGGTTTAGTGCATCCAACTGCTTCCTCATAGCAAGAAAACAGTCAGAGCATTTTCTTTCTTTCTTTTGCAGAATTCTCTTGGCACACTCTGAGGGAAACAAAAATGTCCAATTAAGCCATTGTCCCAATTCTCAGAGCCTCCCAGGAATACCTTGTGCTGGGAGAGATGCTCTTCTATTTCATTAACTGCTTTAAAAATACAAACAGCACAAAGCTTTCAAACACCTGAAAACGGGAATGAAGTAAGCTTGGGTCATAGTGTGGGGTTTTCAAAAGAGCTTAGTACTGGTCTAACTCAGCTCTCACGCCAATGGGAACTTTGCCACTGATTTCAAATTATAGCAGAGTAGCCAAATGCTGAGTGTTTTTGAAAACCCCCCAGCCATGATAGAGCCGGGAAACAACCGAAGGTACAAACTGAGCACAGATCAGGGTCTTTTTGCTTACAAATACCAATATGCACGGATGACTTTCCCCACATTCATATCAAGAGATGGAGAGGCAGGGACATTGACTAAAATCTGACAGCCTGCATATTTGAATCTTTTCAACCTCAACTGTCTTTTTGCTACAGGTGAGGAAGCAATTCTGAACCTATCTTTACTCAAACAGCAAATGAACTGACCAGACCAATATCTGCTCTCATTTTACAGAAAATGATTGCTCCTAGGGCGGTAATCTGTATGCCAATTCCCACCCAGATTGCTTTGTTTCTAATACACAGAGTACGGCTTTCCCAAAAGCCGGGGGTTGTTGGAACAGACGCATGGCCAGACCCGTAATGTCAGAAATGAGATCTGCAGCAGTCACAAAATAATGTACTGAAGGCAGCACACACCGCCATCCCACTGAACTGTGCTTTGTCACAACAAAGTTACCTTTTCTTGTCCTTGTCCCATGGCGAGGAACTTGAGGCGATTCCCTCCAAAGCCTGTCCGATCAGCCAGTTTCATGAGGTCACTGGCAGGGTCAGAGCCAGGACTTAGGATAAAAACAATGGGCGAGTTAGGTGTGCTCTGCTCAAAGATAGCTTCAAAACTGATCACAGGAGGCTGAACATATCTGGGGGAGAAGAACAATAAATTGGTACACTAATTTACACAAAATATTTAAAATGCCATCTATTAGGAGAGTTAATCTGGAAATGGGACAAAGGGATATTAATCCTCGTTTCCTGTTTAGGCAAATTATGCAAATACTCACACAAATGGAAATTAGTGATAATCTGACTTTTCTGTAGTCCCTTCAATTCAAAGGATCTCAAAGTTCAGTACAAATTTAGGGCCTGAACCTGCAAACCCATCATCCAATGCAGTGTTTGCCTCACATGCAGTCTCAATTAAGTCAATGGGACTATATGTAGGAGGAATGAGATTGCAGGATTGAGCCCTTTAACTGAAACACTTACTATATCTATGGAGCACATCACACACTACTGAAGTACAGCCACCTGTGGTGTGGAATTTGACAGTTATGAAACAGTACGTATCTTAGGACAAGATGGTAAGTGGAATACTGTGTTCAACTGAAACCACGGGGGGAATTTACAGAGAAAGAACATCACCATTGAAGCTGGCAATTGGCTCAGACACAGGGCTAACACTTGACCTAATGAAAAGTGTGGCATGATCCTTAATAATCAAGGTGATACAACGTCAGTGCTGTGTACTGTATCCAAGTCTTGTAAACATTACAACCAGAGCTGGTCAGAAAATGGAATTACTCCAATCTGAGAGAAATTCCAACATGCCAAAATCTGTTTTCATTCTGAAACAAAACAAAAAGTCAGAATTTCTTGCAGAATAAAATATTTTAAAATTTTTGATATGAGGCCAATTAAATGTTTCATTTTGATGTCAAAACAATATAATATAAATAATAATGTATGATAGTAAATATTATATATAATCTTGCAGTGAAATTATTATAAAAATGAAATTAATCAAAATCATAAATTTGACGCAAAATATATTTACCTTTATCAAAACAAAATGTTTCAACATCATCAAAACAAACCAAGAAACTCAAAACCATTTGTTTCAACTCCCACCCCTCCAAATTTTGTCAAAATTGACACATTCCTGTCAGAGGTTCTGATAAAGCTACATTGTGTGACGGAAAACTGTTCCATCACATTTTTTTCAAGCAGGTCTTCTTATAACTGATCTCAGCCCATTTTATGTATGCTTTTAATGGCAAGGAATTTTTAAAACTTCTATTGTAACTTTTCTTGCTAAATCTACTGATGTCACGTACATTGTGCACTGTATATATGGGAAGTACAGATGTTCAAAATAATGATACTTGTCAGTTTAGGGGTACGGTGTGTTGGTGGGAGGAAGAGAGAATGGCAAAGTGAATTGAGCAAAGGGCTAACATCTTCAGGTAGAGTAGCTAGGGGTTATCACACTGCCCCTAAGACAGCTGCAGCTCCAAAAATGCTTATGTCCTCGAAGTTATAAATACCAGCTAAAATAGGACACTTGCAATTCTTGAAAAATAAAATCCATCCAGTCTGATACAGAACCTTTAACTATGCATTAAGGCTGGGTCTACACTACAGCGGGGGTCCGACCTAAGATACGCAACTTCAGCTACGTGAATACCGTAGCTGAAGTTGCGTATTTTAGGTCGGCTTACCTGGCGGTGAGGACGCGGGAAAGTCGACCGCTGCCGCGCTGCCGCCGACTCCGCTGCCGCCTCTTGCCGAGGTGGATTTCCGGAGTCGACGGCAGAGCGATCAGGGATCGATTTTACCGCGTCTTCACTAGACGCGGTAAGTCGATCCCCGATAGACCGATTGCTACCCGCCGGATTGGCGGGTAGTGAAGACATGCCCTAAGAGGCTAAATGAAAGGAGAAATGTACATGGCTATGCACTAGAATTAGCCCAGGAAGGCTCTGGATAAAAGCAGGGGAACATCAGTTACTCCTTTGCTCTCCTGTGAGCAAATCTTCCCCACAGGTATTTACCTCAGTAAGGAAACACTGGACAGGAGACCTTTTGTATACTTTTTTCCCCACTTTACACTGATTTTTCAATTAATCACCACCTGCTTTTTGTTTACTTTTCAAAGATCTCATGTCAAAAAAGCTTGTTAGAATCTAACACAATGCATTTTGCATTCACATTCAGGTTTGTGTCCATGAAATATCAATTTGCAGTAGATGCTTAGCAATTGATTCAGGGTACCTCCGACTTTCTTTGGTTCTTTTAAAACTGGTAAAGATTCTGGATAAAAAAAATGTATGACAGCAACTTACTTCTCATCCATTGTCAGAGTAACGTAGTCAGTCACTGCGCGATATACACGGTCTACTCGGAAACACCGTAAAAGCAGCAGCTTCTGAAAATGTGTGAGACTGTTTTGGTATTGCATGGGAAATGGTGATTGTTCCAGGGCATCCAGATCATACCACTGAGAAAGGAAATACAGTAGAGAACATGAGTTGATTAGATGGACAAATCAAGTTTATTAGGAAAGTCAAAGTCAATATGATAACAGGACTGCAACAAGAGAAACAGACATGGGAAACAGAGAAGAATCAGAGAAAATCAGAAATTAGAAAAAAATATTAAATAAATGCCAAAAATCAACTTTTTCAGTATAAAACATGTCTGTCCGATGCCATTTTCATACTTTCATTTTATGGTAATTGTCATAAGATACAAATAAATGAGGTCACAAGCTCAAGACAATAATGGATGGTCTAGAGAAGGTGAATCGGAGATTCCTATTTACTCTCCCGCATAATGCAAGAACAAACGGACATTCAGTGAAATTGAAAGGCAGCAAATTTAAAACTGATAAAAGGAAATACTTTTTTATACAACATGTAAACTACTCTGTGGAACTCACTCCCAAAAGTGGTAAAAGCTAACAATTAAATAGGAGTTGGGGAGGAGGGATAGCTCAGGGGTTTGAGCATTGGCCTGCTAAACCCAGAGTTGTGAGTTCAATCCTTAAGGGGGCTATTTAGGGAACTGGGGTAGATATCTGTCTGGGGATCAGCAGGGGGTTAGACTAGATGACCTCCTGAGGTCCCTTCCAATCCTGATATTCTATGATTTAAAAAATGATTAGAGATGAAATCCTGACTCTGCTGAAGTCAATGGCAAAACTGTCATTGACTTCACTGGGGCCAGGATCTTATGTTAGACATGTAACTGGAAAACAAGAACATCCACAGTTACATAAGATAAGATGTTTTAAAACATTTAAAACCCTCATGCTTCAAGGCATAAGCCAGTCACAAACTGCCCAGGGTCAGGAAGAAAGTTCCCCAGGTGTAGGTTATTCCAGATTTGTTCATTATCAGTTTCTTGAACTTTCCCCGGAAGTTTCTGGTACTGGCCAGTGTTGGAGACAGAACAGCACACTAAATGGCTGACTGGTCTGACTATGGCAATTTCCATGTTTCTATGTAGATCATGCAATTACCCCACAGCTTCTAAAGAAACATCCAGTCAAGGAATAAAGGGAAAAGTCAGTGACACCTTAAACATTTTTAACAGGTTGAATCATGTTTGAACATTTAATGGGGGGATGGGGGGAACAGAAACTAGACTAAGAAAATCACTTACTTCTTTCCATATTTCAGGATTTTTTTCCACGTCATCTGGAAGAGACCCAAACTCCTCAGGAAATAGTTCAGATAGGCGAATTATGTCCTCCCAGCCTTGATCCAAAAGCCAAGCACACGGCTTCTTTCGTGTACTCTTCTCCAGGGAAATATTGCCTAGTTACAATTCAGAAAACTAAATAAATATCACTATCATAAAAGGTAGCACAATTACTTTTAATTAGTCTGCTGGAGAAACAGTTACTACTTTGCAAGTATTTTTATGCCAAGTTTATATTTTTGCCACTATTTATGCATTTAACTAAAGATGGACTCTTGGTGTAAAATCCTGGCCCTTCTGGAGTCAATGGGAGCTTTGTCATTGACTTCACTGGAGTCAGAATTTCACTGTTGGCCTTTTTGCCCTCAAACAAGCTGGAAACAAATGCCAGGGATCACATCCTCTACTGGTGTAAACCAGCCTAGGCCTATTGACTGAAACTAAGCTATGCCAATTTACATCAGCTGAGGATCCACTCTTTCAGTTACAACAGTGCTAGAACCCGTTAACAGAAGTCAGTTGAACATATTTTTGTTGAACATCTATTTTAAAATGTTCCTCGGGGCTCAGGCTCAGTATGCTAAGTTTTAGGATCTGTATGACTTAGGAGCCCAAGTCCCAAGTAAATGGGACTTAGGTGCTTATGGAAATTTTACTAAGCAGCTAACTTTGATATAGTCAAATATATGTAGTCAAAATCTCAATTTTAATTCTAGAAGAGCATGTAACTACTAGAAGGTATTAAGTATCCAAGTTACCTTTTAAAAAGAAGTCCAGTTCTTCTTGTGGGACTCTACCATCAGCTTGTTCTATCTTGATAGTCATATTAAAGGAAAATAGTAACTTGTGTCTCTCAAATAAGCCTGAAATGAGAACACAATATTCTCATCAGTCTGCTTCTTAAGAATGTGGGCCTCGGACAAATTTCAGATCCAGATCTTGACTCTGATCACCCCACAAAGTTCAAGGTGGTGAATTTTGGTTCAGCCCACTGTAAAGATTTGAGCCTGCTACAACATTCACATCCAGATCTAGCTTCAGATTCCAAACAATCTCCCCTCCAAAGCCGAGAGAGGTTGAGATCCATATTTCTGGTTTGGAACCACTGCTATTTGTAACTGATTGTTTATTAAAAGTAGAAGCACTTCTTAAATGTCAAGGGGATGGAATACAGCACTTCTCTACATCTCAGCGCAACCTCAACATGAGGGAAGAAGGGGTAGAGAAGGCAGAGGCATTAGCAGTGAATAGTGAATTCAATATTTGTTGAAATACCTTTGACAGTACAAAATTACATTGCTTTGCACAGCTGACTGAAGGAATTCCCATTACAGTCATTCAAACATACACAATGCCATCTCATTGCTTAATCACACTAACCTGTGCAGCCATAGTTATATATGTTGAATGTCAATGTATCCATGATATTTTTTAGCCTCTTTGGAAGAATTGAGTTGGGCATGGATTTCCGAAGCGAAAACCCAAACACATCTAAGAAGGAGGCCAAGGAATATTGATACATGGTGTTGACAAGGGCCATTTCAGACAAAACAAAGAACAAAATGGCGCCCCTCTTAGCAGCAGGTCGGTAGCCATCTCGCAGCTTGTCAATGTCCACTGCCGTCTTCTCAGCCAGCTTGAGTTTCTCTGATACCTAGCAAGTGAGAAATGTGGATCCCAGGCAATAATTTTATCTATATATAACTACTACACAGAACTACATGGTTAATGATATGCTGAGCTAATCTGTGGCTAAACAATATTGAAACAGTGTTTTGAAATATTATGAACAACTCTTCCAGGATTTAAAAATATATCAAGCAGTAAACAAGTATCAAAAAATCCTATGAACACTGGCAGGTGTGCCATCAAAAGCCAGTTGCTGCCACAGAATCAAGAACATTTCCTTGAAATAATCCCACATTAAATAGCTAAAAATTCAAGTAGCCTTTTTTAAAGAAAAAAATCATATTAGTAAAAATTCTTTTCCCTCTCCAAAAATGCTTTAGTTCAGTTTATTAAGCTTCCAGATTATAAAGTTGGAATATCTGTGTTACAGAGCACTGTATGTTTGTAAGAAATACTGGAAAAGATTTACAAATTTCAGTTAACCTTCAGTTTTAATAAAACCATGCAAAGATTGTTTCGGAGTTGGAATAAGATGTTACCAAAGATAGATAGATAGGTAGATAGATAGATAGATACTCACTTTTTTTTTTTAACTAAAGGTCCCTATTATAAGGAAGTCTTCTCTGAAGGTAGTCTTGCCATTTGTGTGATGGAATAAAATCCTCCCCATGGCACTGAAATATGTCATGATGTTACATCATGAATTCACGATCCAGGTGAAGACCTTCTGACTCACCACCATCACATCAAGCAAAACATTGTAAAGTGCTGGTGTTTCATAGGCCCAAGATTGACTTTGAGACTTCTGCACATTAAGGTATTTCCTCAGGAAATACCATGCTGCCTGGCCCCATACCTAAAGATAATGTATTTCTGAGTATGGATAAACATTCCTGGGTCAGGCAGGCAACTCTGAGCAAGCAAATTCTTAAAGAATTAAGATTTCTGTCTCTGGGCACAAGTGCTAGACCTGTGCATGTATGGAGTTCTCATAGACAACTGCTCACCATGTAACTCTCAGCTCCTTTTCAACTTACATCCTAACTTAAGGAATAAAGGAGGATGAAACAAATCCCAAAGGAAAGATGGGGATTCTTAGGTAGAACAATGGTGAGATAAGGCTCTAATAGGTACCTCACTAGCTTTGGCTTTTGTCTCCTCCAGGGTGTGCACCAAGTCCACATTATCCAACATGTTTCCTGTGGAAGTGGCTAGTTCCCGGAGGAGAGAGTCTTCCAAATCTTTCAGCAAGTTTTTGTTCTCGCTGGTTTCCTGGATGAGATGTTCTCTCTGCTCTTCTAGCTCTCTTCTTTCAAACCCCACAATAACACTGAGCAGCTGGTCCTCCAGGCCTTTTAGTGTAACTATGGATGGAAAATGGAGAACCATGTCCTTAGCACAATCTTTCTTAAAACACAAGGTTAGCTTTCATACAGTTCCTTCAGGCTATATGATCTTATATAACTCTGTGCCAAAAAGACAGGTTTAGTTAACAGCATTGAGTGTTGTTCTTCTATATCGGTTCTCACCTGACACATCTAATAAGCAGCATGTAGTTTAGTTTCCTTTTAGACTAACAGCGGGAAGTGGAAAAATTTAACATTAAATCATAGAATCGTAGGACTGAAAGGGATCTCAAGAGGTCTTCTAGTCCAGTCCCCTGCCCTCAAGGCAGGACTCAGTATTATCAGAGGCTGAATATAAGGGGGAATATAAACAATATAACATACATTGTAATATTATACATAGTTAACAGGTATTGCAAATTCCACCGCGAGAGCCAGGACATTTCTGTCCCCTCTTCTGATGTGATCAGAGGGCTAGCCACTATTTACAGCACTCGTTCTCTGTTTTCTTACTCACCGAGGGCCAGATTTTGACCCCCTTACTGCTACTGAGAAGCAGCTTTCCCCATGAGATGTCAATGGGACTCATGGAGAAAGGTATCAGACAACACGAGTAAGGGTGTCAGAATCTGCCTTTCATTCAGGCCAGACCTGGATTTGCGGAGGTACACAACCAGCTCTTAATCCAGACGAAAAGCAGAGTAACTGCCTGGAGTCATTGGTTTCAAGCTAATGAATCTGTAACTGGGCTCACTATCTCCTGCCTGAAAACACTTGCATTTTACAGCTGAACTCATCCAAACTCATGTGCTGTGGTTTCTGGTACAAGAGAAAGGATCTCAGCTTTCTGGAGCAATCACTCATCTGAGCCTAGTTTATGCCCTACATTTGCCCTACTATGCAGTTAATACTCTGCCCCTAACAGCATGCATTTGCTCACCTGTATAGTTGATAACCATGGCTTTTCCAAACACCGACGGTGAATATTTAGGGTTAGATAGCTTGGTGTTCAAGTACAATTTGAAGTTATTGTCATAGTCTACCTCCTTATCACCCAGCACAATAAATATTCGCCCCTGGGTAACTTTTATATTCTTTTCTAAGACATTGTCAATCACAGGATCTATGTATTCATCTACATCATGGAACAAGAAAGGACTCCCATACTTTATGGCCATTTCTAGTTGTTTAAGGAAATCAGGGTCATTAAAGGAGGCCATCTGAAAGAGAACAGAAAAATGGAAAGATTTGGAAACAGTTAATATTGAATTCACTGAATATTTCTTTTTTACAATAATTGCCAGTATTCATTAAGCTTGCTGTTTGTCTATGCATCTCTGCCTTTCATCCTACAGATGATATAACCCAGATTGGGAGAGACCAAAGAAAGCACATTCTTGATTCTGATCCACTGAGAAAAACTGTCCGCTTGGAAAACAATTCTTTTCTGCTGCAACTGCACCCCTAAACACAATGTGGCCTAAACTTTTGTCTATCCTGTTCCTGCAAGCACTGGGGCTTTCTGTGAGATGCAAGTCACGCACCTTGCAGCATGAGTAACGAGGCAAGCCCAAAGTTCAAGCAAGTTTGCAGGTGCCACGCAGGAAGAGCATCACATTGTTGGGTATCCACCAGAACTTAAAAGGCTAGGCAATGGAGCAAGGAGGGGAAAACAGTGGTTTTGAGTGAGCTTGGAGGACTGGAACAGTGAGGTAATTGAGGGTCATGTCCTGGGGGGGATTAAGACTAAATAGTTTTTAGATATAACAGCATTTCACCTCCCCAAACAGACACCCCTTCCAGATGAACTCCTGAATTTTTGACAACATGCTTTATCACTGGGGAAGAGTTGTCTTGGTGGCATCTGCCTATGGTCTCCCAAGTTCACACAGCACTAAAAGAGACAGAAGCATGATGTAAGCTGTTGCTCCCCTGCTGAGGGTAGAAGGAAACTGGAGCCCAGCATTCTTTGTTCCCAAAATTGGAGGTCTCTGACATGGCAGCTTGGCGTCTGGTGTTTCAAATATCCTGCTTCAATCCTCCACAGGCTGGATGCAGGGCAGGGTCACTATCCATTTGGATAATTGACTTTATTTTTAGATGCTTAATGGAACTGCACTTCCATCCTATTGAGGTTCAATCATCACGACTGTCAATTTCCACTAGTAACTGATGTCTTGGTCAAGTGGCAGATATTTATGCATCTTTCAAAACAATAAATATAAAAATAAAATGAAAATTTAGCTTCACCCTCAGATTATTTTTTTCTTCTTTTCTCCTGATCCAATTTAATGCCTGCTGCTGGGGGTCTATGCACAAAGGGAATCGACTAGCACGTGTTGTCAGAATGCCATTCTGAACAGAGAGCTCATCTGGAGGCAAACCTTGGGAGCCCCACCTGGGGAGGAAACAGAGTAAAGATTGCTGTGTATTTTATTCTTTATGGTACAGTAGCATGCTTCACTTCCGGGTAAAACAGTGCCGTCCTACTGAGCAGTCTATTACAACACCCTAGAACATACAGTGTATTAGACTGGGAGATGAGGCATGTCTGCATGGCAAAAACAACCTCACAGCAGCGAGTCAGAGCCTGGGTGTACAGAACTGCGCTACAGTGCTGAAAATAGCCATGCAGATGTTTGGGCACAGGCTCTGAAGCCCAGGGAGGGGAGTGGGTTTCAGAGCCCAAGCTCCAGCCCAAGCCCAAACATCTACACAGCTATTTTTAGTGCCACAGCGTGAGCCTGAGTCGGTAGACACGGTCTCTGAGACTTGCTGCCCTGGGCTCTCTTTTTGCCATGTAGACATAACCATAGGCTCCCAAGGGAAACAATTAAAACATCATTGAGTTACTTATAACTAGCCTGGCTAAAGCACTAATTCATGTATTGTGGTGAATAATCCTGCACTAGCAGGAAAATGGTCTAAATGAGACAGGGCCTGACCCAAATCCACTGAAGTCAATGAAAGGACTCCCACTGGTCTTTGCATCCCACTCATAGTGTGGATCTACTTTGTGAAACAAATTTTTCAATGGCATCAGGTGGTACCAGCTATACTGAGTGCTATAGATGTGCAAAGTACAATGATTTATTAGATTCCAGGTGCCCAGTTCACAGGAAGAAAGATGTTTTGTCTCACTGCCAGCCTTGGGATCTGAAAATTCTTCCTGGGATGCTTGCGCATCACGAATAGTAAAGATTATACTCTACAAATTCAGCCATTGCTCACCCCGGTAAAAGCCCACTGCATTGACATTCTGACCTCTCTTACACTTATCTATCTAATCTCTATCAGGAATTTCTAGAGCACCAATCACTGTATAGAATTTAGGGGCCTTCAGTTGGTAGCCTAAGGGTAACAGAGAGCAGGAACAGAGCTCCAGACTGGAACTTAGTTAAAAATTCTGTTGATCAGTGTGAGCAGAATACAGTATATTTAGTATTGGAGAGGGGTCAAGATTAGGCAATAGCTGTATTGGTTATGCTTGGCTAACAGGAGTAAAAAGTAGTTCAAATTTAATTTTGTCATTGGAGTAAGCAGACAGGATTCCAAATACACAGGGGGAAGATCTCTTTGCAAGGCACTTTGAGATTCTCGGATGAAAAGGACTATACAATTATTATTCTCTATTGAGAAAGATGATCCCATTTTCAAACAGTCATTTTTCAGAGGAGATTGTATGCTAATGGCTTTTTTCTGATTTCCAGGATTCAGTGCACAAACAGAGATGGGCCAAACCCAACCCCCTCCAAACCCAACGATCTCCAATCCTGGATCCAGATTCAGATCCAAACTGTGTGACTCCCACCCTTCTCTACACTCAGTAGCAGCTTGGCTGCTTTTTTGAAGCTGTGATTTCACATACCTGCTAATCTCTACATCATCAGTCAGGAGGTATTCCAATCTAAAAGGCTGGCTGAGAGGAATCTCTCGTGATCGTATATCTTCTTGCCACTCGTGGTAGATCATCTCATTACGGAAATCCCAATTGAATGCCCCTTCATAGCTCAGAAAAGCAGCGCAAAGTAGACAGTCGCCTAGCAGCTTCACTTTTCGCATTTTTAACTCCTCTAAGTCATTTGTCCATCTGATAGAAAAATTAATGAATTCTGGGTCAGTTTGAGATCCTTTCTGCAGCAGGGGTCAGAGAACTCCATTTTGTGTAGAATACCTGCAGCATTTCTAAGCTGCTTAAGTTTTAACTTCAGGTTGCGAAGAGCCCCAAACCTACAATCAACCACCATATCACAGCAGTAATGGCAGCAGAAAGTTCAATTTGACCTGGAACTAACTTCCTTTTAATCTAAAACAAGTGGATTTGCGTCATGCATTTAAGCAGTACTTAACTGCAGCTACATTTTGCTTTTTTGCTTTTCAGTTTAAAAGTGTGAGTCTCAAGTATGCCCAGTAAACACTTCTGGATTGAAAAATCATATTATTTGTTTTGATTATTTTTCAGTAGCCAAAGTGTGTTAGTTGCTTCACAGAAACAAACAAAACACACAGGGTGCAATTTTCAAAAGCACCGAGGGAGGTGGTGGAATCTTCATCCTTAGAGGTTTTTAAGGCCCAGCTTGCCAAAGCCCTGGCTGGGATGATTTAGTTGGGGTTGGTCCTGCTCTGAGCAGGGGGTTGGACTAGATGACCTCCTGAGGTCTCTTCCAATCCTAATCTTCTATGATTCTAATTCCCATTTTCAAAAGTGACTTTCATTGAAACTTAGGCTCCTAAGGGCTGGTCTACACTTACCCCCCAAATCGAAGTAAGGTACGCAAATTCAGCTACGTGAATAACGTAGCTGAATTCGACATACCTTACTTCGACCTTACCGCGGTTCAGACGCGGTCCACACGCGGCAGGCAGGCTCCCCGTCGACTCTCGCTGAGCTGGAGTACCGCAGTCGACGGGGATCACTTCCTGGTTCGATTTATCGCGTCCAGACCAGACGCGATAAATCGAACTCGGAACTTCGATCCGCAGCCGAACTAACCGGTAAGTGTAGACTAGCCCTAAGTGCCTAAGTCACTTTTGAAAACGGGACAAACTCCTACGTCACTTAGGTGCTTTTGAAAATTTTATGCATGGTCTCTAACTTTACATTTTAATGCACAAAATCTCTCTTCTGGCACTAGACTTAACCTTATATTTTCAGATCCCAAGCCAGAGATGAGCTTGTCAGCAGCGATAAGTCTCCTTTCCATGATCTCTGCTTCTTCTTGTAATTGTTGTTTTTCCCTTATTGCAGCTTCATACTTATCTCCCAAAGCTTTGAGCTCCCTCTGAATTGTCGCCAGCTCTGTCTGTATCTTTTCCAGATCACGTTTACTTAAGTAGTAGTTCCGTTCCAATCTAGCCACCTACATTATGAAAGACATCATGTGTCGTGTCAGAGGAAAGAGGAGTTTTATTTTTTGGTGCAAAATCATTGGTTTTCAACCTTCAATTAGCTAGTTCATATATGTTTAAGACAATCTGGTAATAAATAGTATAAGAAGAAAAAATAGGCACTGTTTTTCACGCAACTCCTCTCACCCCATAAACGCATAATACGGTCTGATTCTGCAGCCCTGACACAGACAAAACTCTTAGCCCTGATCTAGCCAGGTACTTAAGCACATGAGCAGTCCCACTGACATCCATAAGAGTACTGGCTGCCTAAGGAAAAAGGGATTAGGGCCTAATAAAACATTTAGAGCCAGGACTTGACAAATGCACTTGCCCACTGGCAAGTGGCAAGCAGAAAACCTTCCTTGGTGACCAGAGATGTTTCCTAGTAGTATTGGTAGGATTTACACTTTCATTTTATAAAAGAATTACATTGCTAGTCCTTTGTAAACAGGCCATAAAAATGTTTCCTGCTTAAACCAGATAAATGGATTCGACATACTGTACCATTGAGTCCCTCTATGCCCAAATGTCATGGGTATTATTTTAAGTGAGTTTTCAGTAGGCACCTATAACTTTCATCCCCGTTTCCTGCCTTCCCCCAATATCATATTACAAAACTTTTCCTTTTACTTCATGCTTTAATGCAAACGGAAACTGGTATCACAGACCTATAATACAATTAAAACAGCAGCTTGCAATTGAAAGCTTGGCTTTGTAAAGTGCTTTGAGGTCTACTTGAGGAAAAGCACTATATAAGAGCTAGGTATTATTATTACAATGGTTCTAGCAAACACCACTTTCATGTTTGTTAACACTTTGAAGAGGAGAAACACTGCAGTACATAAAATTGCCAAATGTTATTTTTGTGGCAACAAATACTTTTCATAGTCCTTTATGTTCATACTTTCACAGTGTACCTTTTCTCTCTTTGGCCTGATTTCCTTAGCTACGTCACAGTAACTCATTACTGCATCGACAAATTTTAACATTCCCAATCCTGCTCTGCTAACAGCTTCCATTTCTTCAAATGTCGTGTTAAGATTCTTTAACAGAGCTAAATGTTAACACACAAAAACACTGCCAGTCAGTTTAATAACAATGCATAAATCACAAGAGCAATAGCTTTCCTTGTTAATCAAATCTCAACTAGCTCTCTAGTTCTGTGGTATGTATTGGAACAAGGATGTGATAACCAATGCAAAACAACTGTACAGTATAAGGTTATGCTGCTGGACAATAATAAAAGAAGCAAGATATTGTCAGCTATTCAAGGACTTTAGGCCAGATGACTCCAAGGGAAGCTGAGTGAGATCAGCACTTCGCAGGGATTGCTCAGCATTTCTCAGGCTCCAGCCCTTTGCTTGCTAGGTGGCAGTCAAAGGTTATTATGCTCAATAGACCAAATTCTCCTCTCACTGCCCCAGAGTAACTCCAGTGGAGTTACACTGGATTTACATTGGTGTAAGCATGAGCAGAATTTGGTCCGATTAGTTTGAGTTGCAGCCCACTGCCTTTCCGTGACACACTTGTGTTGTATCTTTAACGTTCGTCGTGAAGATGATGTGACAATTATACTTTCAAAGTAGCTAAAAAACAAACAGAGGCCCTGCTCAACTGTTCAGTTTATGTCTAACCTCCTCTAAGCAAAAGTCACACAAGATTACAATGCAAGTTAAGGCATAACCCTGTGCAGAGAGCAAGCACAAGGCCTTTGTGCCAGGAAAGTCCTGGTTAAGCCGACAGTGCAAAGCAAGTTGGGCAGAGCCCTCACGTTTGCCCTCGGCACCAGGTGAATTTCACCCAAAGAGAAGAAAGCATCCAGCATAGCAGCTAACATCTGAAATGATATTAATAAAACTCTACATTCAATTCCAAGTGCCTGGTTCATTCAGCTAAACAATTTACCTCGGACGGATTTAACTTGGGTCTGAGTAATTCCATCAAAATCTATCTCCATTAGGGATCGCAGGAAATTTGGGTCAGACATCATTCCTTTGGCCATCTTCCAGTTTAATTCTTTGTATCCTCTCATTATGAGGATACATTCACAAACAGTCTGCACCTGTTTAGGGGGCTTAGCAAAGGATCTAGAAAATAAACATGGGGAAGGGAAAGAGACAAAGTGCATGACGCTATAAATACATAACTCTTATTGGAAGAGCTTTTTTCCCAACCGGTGGTATTTAGTGCAGGGGGTGCTGTAAGATAGCAATTCCCCAAAATACCTCCTCATCCAAGTGAGAAATACAATCCAACCCAAACAAGGAAAGATTTATAAACAGAGGGCTAACAACTAAATATTACATTCATACAACAACGTCCTCAAGGTTTCTAAAGGAGTTCAACCATCAGAGAAATAAAACCCTTAACCATGTTTTTACTGGAGCTTAAAGCTGCATCAGCCTGCAATAACAGCGACCGAACACTGGCAGTAGCCATACTGAGCTGGTTTTGGAAATAATCCTCAGGACCCTTGGCTAAACGAGTGTAATCTACTAGGGGAACAAAGGAGATTTTAGGATGGAAAGGTGAGAAGAAACCCATCAAAGTCTGATACTCTGATCTTTCCTTTGAATTGGCAGTTCTATCCCATCATACAATATTTTCTTCTGGATACTCATCTATCTCCTGTTTAAAGGTCTTTATCATACTAGGTGTATTAAACGTAAGCATGCTTTCCTATTCAACATTATTTAACAACAGTGAGGGATGACAGGCCTTGAACCCACAGGCAGCATCAGGCCACAGCCACCACCCAGCAGCTCACCTAAACAAGCAGAGAAAAGGAACCAGTGAGTGCTAGCTCGCAGAGGGCCCCAACCCTGAAGCTCCCAATTGGGGGAAACATCCAGCATCCCTTATTGGCTGAGGAGCTCTATATAAACCAGGAAGAAACAAGAAGTTATCTGAGCAATCCCTGGCTGGCTGCTACTATGGGACCCCTCCTGCTTGACTGACTCCTGAGCCCTGCATTCCTGCCTGCTCCAGGCCTGGTGGAATGCAATGGTGTGTAACTACAGCCAGAAGCTCCATTGTTGTAAATCAGCATAGCTCCATTGAATGGAAGAGGAAGGTCAAGTTGCCCATTGCAAGGGGAACAGGGAGGAAGAGTGTCTAGAGGCCTAGTGGGAGGAGGACGATCAAGAAGTGTGGTGGGGACTGGAAGAGTCTGAAGGGAGCAGGAATGGCAGAATTTTGAGGGGAGCTGAAGTTTGGGTATAGCTTTAAAGCCACCTTTACAAGAGCTATTATTAAAACACAAAAAGAGGAAGGTATATAAAAAGAGAAACACACATTCATACCATCAAAGATCTTTGAAACACAAGTGCTGTGTATCCCACATCTAGTGCAGAATAAAATCCAGAATGAAAGGGCTAGGATAGCTACTGCTTGAATGACCCCCACAGACACTTCAGTAGTACTCAGGGTGGCAGAAATGTATTACAGAATAATTAGAAAGACATCAAATATTGGATTGCTTTCCTGGAAGGAAGGACAGGCCTGTGGTTGACCCACGGGACTTGGAGATCCCCAAGCTCTGCCTCAGACTCCCTCTGAGACCTTGACCTCTCTATCCTCAAACCCCACATCTGTCTACTGGGGATGATCATGCTTCCTTACCTCACAGGGGTGTGTGAGCCTGAGGGTGCTGGTGCTTGTCAGGTACTTAGACTACAGCAAAGGCACCATGGAAATGAATTTCTAAGAGTTTATGCTATTACAAATCAGAATTAATCACCTAATCTCTGTGACATCAGACTTGTCAAGCTTCTGCAGCTCCAGTTTAGCAGCTTCTAAAATAGGCATGGCCTCAGCCAGGGACGTCTCAGCATCCTTCTTTTCCACAGCAATGACCTTATTCTGTTCTTCTATCTCCACCGCTTTTTCTTCAGCCAATTTTTTCTTCTCCTCAGCTAAAAAGTGCGAAAGGCAGTATATAGTAAATGGCTTACTAAGATTTGTATCTAGCTAACAAACCAGTAAAACTGCACATGGCCTAAAATCAGAAACTACCATGATCTCTAGATCACTATTAACTCATTTGGTGCTAGGTCACTGCTATTCACAGTACTCTTCCCATCACAGATAAGTTCTGGAATGCTAAGAACAACAGAACACAATCTCCTTTTCTACTCTCTTCTTCCTGTTTGTGTCTCCTCTTTCAGAGGGGAAACAGCTCACAAATCCCCTTCTGATCCCCGGCGCATTCACTCCCATTGCCTTCCCACATGCTGCCATGCCTTTGGCTCACAAAACTCCCCTTGCTGCTAGTGTCTTCTCTCATAATTTGCTCCTCAACAGTTTGGGATGGGATATGAAGAAGAACACTGTATCTACTTGAAACTGCAATGGACGTTACTATGGGCAGATTGCAATTGTACAGGTTGGAATTTGGTCAGAAAACAAAGGTCAACAGTCCTACTCTTGTGCTAAGTACTATATGACCATTAATGATACCATGGTGGAACCTTAGGTCAGTACTGACAGAACAAGAATACCACCTATTGAATCATCAACACCTGTGTTCTTTAAGAATCTCCCAGCCTAATACTGACCTGGCCCAACCCAGCTTAGCTTGTGGGATATGACAGGAGTTTTAAGTACTTGCCTATTGCTGTGTTGGTTGCTATCTCTTGTAACAAGGCCTCACAGGCAGCTGATTTTTCAGCTAATACAATCTTCTGCTCTGCAAGTTTCTCATTTAGTTCATCCAGCTGAACAGTAGCTTCCTTCAGTTTAGCTAATCCTCCTTCCAGGCGTTTGCATTGTGCTTAGTGAAAAAGAGGGAGAAATATTAGTGATTAATGGAGCGATCATACAGTGACAGACACCATTATTTAACGTGTCCTGTTCTGTAGGCAAAGAAATCAGTCCTTTTCTTAAAACCGCAGCAGGACTCCCTTGCTTTTTTGCATGGTCACAAGTGATTATGGAGCTCCAAAGAGCCCAGGCTCCTTGGTCAGTCCTCTTGTTGAGAGTGTAAAACGGAGTCCCACAAGACAGTTTTCCCCTAAGCATTGGCTCAGGAGTTGCAGAACTTGGCTGAACCATGTCCCCTTTCCTCCTGTGGCACATTTTCTGTGCTTCTGCAGAAGACCAGCTCTGACAGTACGTCAATCACATTTCAATGCACTAGGCACATTTCAGTATCCATCAGAATACAGCTAACTATTCCAAGAGGAACAAAGCACATGTCACTCAGGCATCTCTATAAAACCCTGAGCTGAGTCTGAGATACCAAGTTCAAATCCATACCCAGACTCTCCCAAAGCTCAGGGATGTTTGATAGGAGGTTCAGGCTTGGGTCCAGATAAAGAAAAAGTGTCACTCGGGGCATAGCCCATTATTCAGGTAACATTCATTTGAGGGTATTTGGGTTGTATTTATTTGATTGCTTTTGCACAGATTTGCCAAGCAAAATGAGTCTGTTTAAAACATTTCAATCACATACAGTCTTAAAAAGAGAAAACCTTACCTAAAATGAACTGATTTTTCTCTTCCAGCAATTTTGAGTAAGTATGAATGAAATCAAGATAATTCTTTGGCGTAACATAGTTGCTGCGTCTCAACTTTTGTAGGAATTTTTTACTGAAATTCCCTACAGATTCGTGCACCATGACTATGTGCTCAATCACGAACTCTGTGTGCTCTGCCGGGATCAGTGGATTTTCCCCTGAAAAGAGGATATGAAAAATAAAACATCTCAAAGCCATTTAAAAGGATGCTAAGTTTCATTTATCCCCATTTTACAGATAGGGAAACTAAGGCACAGATAAGTTAAATGACTTGCCCCCGGACAAAGAAAAGTCAGTTGCAGAGTTAAGAATAGAACCCAGGAGTCCTAACAGCTGGTCTGCTCAGAGCACTAAACCATGCTGCCTCTAGGCTTGGGAGTTCTCTCTTAACTTTACCAGTATATTTTAAAAATGTTCTTTCCCTACACACCCCCACACCCCTTGAAGAAGGCCGCAAATTTGAGTTTTGTGGGGTCTGGGATATAAGCACCCACTGTCAGATTGAGCTCAGGTATTTGCATTATAGTACAATGTACTATTTTCCAGCCATCAATTCTTTTCTAGCCTAACTCAACTCACCATCTAAACAACAAAGGACAAGAAGTTGTAGATTTGAGAGTGTAAGATTAGAACAGATAGTCCACTGCAGTTCAAGACCAACACAACCAGATCTGGAGAGGTTTAAAAACCAGGGTCTGTGCAAGTTTAAGAATCAAACACTTCTTATGGACCCCTTATGGGAAGCTGGAATGACTTGAGAGCTGTTTAGATACATCAGACCTTTGATGTCTACCTTCTTAG